GACAACATGGTTACCAGGACAGCAAATCAAAATCTTCCCAACAGGACACAAATGGCAAAAAAAAATGACAAAGGTTCTTAAGCTCCTGACTCTATCTGGAACAACTAATAGGTTGAGATACACTTTAAATGACTTCAGCGTGTTTCATTGAAGATGCAGCTCCTCTCTGTCTCTCCTGCACATGGACTGAACTGCATTTGTAGTACTCGCTGCTCGTGGCTGTGTGTTCCTGAACATTATTGGACTGGACTGAACTGACTCCTGAACTCTGAATTTGCCCATTCCTGTGTTACAATGCAATATCCGTCTGCTCAGTGAAAGCTCCAGAAGGTCTCCTCTTGGCCATACAAGGGACAGAAGTAGCTAACTGGACCGGTGCTGAGCTGAAGGACAGAATAGGTGCTCATCCATCATATGGACACATTTACCTTCCTGCAAACTTGTGACTGCTTCTTGCCTCTGTAGCTCCCATGTAGAGGGTATTAGAAGGTTAGACCTGAGACCTAATTCCTCCTTTTTGAGACTATCTATCATACAATGACTAGAGTAAAGGGAATGATTTCCTCCCTCTACGCCCATATACACAATCCCTCATACCAAGAACTCCCTATTTGTGTAGCTAGATGGGAGGAGGAACCGAGTCCAATTCCATCCTATACAACCTGGAATAAAATCTTTCATACAACATCCTGATTTTTTATAATATGTGAGGGAGCATACATGTTATTAAGAAGATTTGACCTGGAAATCCAAAAAGAAGAGATTTAAAGTTGCAGTTTTGTGGCTATGTTCATCTCTGCAGTACGAGAGGAACTGCAAGTTGAGCCATTTGCTCTGTGCGGTTGGCTGAGCATCCAATGGGGTGGACCTGTCATCTGTGGGATTATGACTGAACTCTTCTAAGTCAGAATCCCCCCTAAACATGACCATACTGCAGTGTTGTGGAGCGAACCCTTACCAGGTCGGGGGCCAACATTGAGCGGCGTTCGTCTTGGGACCATAGTGCGGACAGTAGCAGGCTGCTTCTCTCTCATAGTGCATCACTTGTATGTTGGCGACCTAATGGTTAGTTGTACCCTACTGATGATGTGTTGTCGTACTTCTAGCCAAGGCTGACGAATCTGAGTTTCGCCAGCCTTGGGGGCCAATGATGAGTGGCGTTCGTCTTGTAACGGACTTGTGCGGACGGTAACAGGCTTCCTCTCTCTCAAAGTGCATCACATGTATGTTGGGAACCCAATTTTAAATCATTTGTTGGGTACCTGTGTGGTTAATTGTCCCCTACTGATGATGAGCTGCCGTACTTTTAGCCAAGGCTGACGGATCTGAGTTCGCCCCACCACTTCCACCACCCATCAGATCTTCAGACCCTTTTCTGATGGACAAAGCAAAGATGAAAAGGATAAATAGTGACTGGAGGACCCGTTACAATAAACAAACTTGTAACGGGCCCTCCAGGCTGAGGGCCAGATTGGCCGAATTGACCAATGATCAACAATTATGACTTTTAATACTCAAGCCAATTTGCATGTGCGCGGTTAGCATATGGCAGGCCACTGCACATTCCAGGAGCCAGGTCGCCAGCACACCTTAAAAAAACAAAAACTTGTAACTGATACCAAACGTTTTGTTGGCTGTGCACGGAAATCTCCTTATGGCTATGGCCTGCTGAATCCAGCATTCATTTTTCCATCCTCGGTTGAGGAGTCTTGTCCATCAGACTCTTCTATATCATGTCACTAGAATTTGACTTTGTTTCTCCGATCCGCCATTGCTTATAATATTCAGCCGTGGAGTCCTACCAGTAATAACTACCTGACAGATCACAACAAAACTTTCCAAAGAAGAGAGGATTGGAGGTCATGACCCCCAGGTTAGGACCTTTTCAGCTCCAGAAGGCAGCGAACAGGGAATTCTTGTTTGAATGCAGCTCCCAGCCGACACAAAGTAATAAATATTTTTGAGTCCATCTTATAATTAAGCACAGTGGCTGTGTGTCCTGCAGGGTAAATCCTTTGAGCCTCGGCTTGTTAACCCTTTCTGTGGCTGCGGGCCGTGAAGGAAGAGCTGAAAGCTTTTTGGCCTCTGAGATGACGGGGAATCATTTTGTGCGTCCGTCCTCTTTTCGCTTTCTGTGGGAAAATTAACCAGGTTCTAGTAATTGTTTGTCCTTCAGAAGAGCCTGTCGCTTTGATAAGTTAACAGGCGGTGGGTTTTATGTTCCTAGCAGGGGGGATAGTAATGTCCAAACAAGCCGGTACGCACATAAACACCAGTGAGGGGGCAATTGCCATATACTTTCTTAAAAGGGAATATTAAATGGCAGCATTGTTATTAAGCTGAATCATATTGGGACTCTTATCTTTGCGCGCTCTATTTTCTTGCTGAATGCCGGAGTCATAATCACGGTTTTGAAAGCGCCGGGTAATTGTCAGCCGTCTCAGCTCTGACATGAGTATACAATTACATTGTTGAATTCACTCAATTGTCCTCCACATTTGAATAGCATTTGTATGCACTACCATTGAGGG